GGGGGGTGCATGGGGGGCCCGGGGAGGGGGGGGGGGCTGGCTGGGTCGCTGGGCAGCCCCGGGCAAGGGGTGCCCGTGGGGCCAGCCCCCTCCCTGTGCCGTTGGGGACCCCATCTACCCGCTTCCCCCCCCCGCCAGCAGCCCAGGCTCAGCAGCCCCTAGCCCCCGCCATGGGGCTGCTGTCGGACCCCCACTGCCGGCGGGCGCTCTCCCGCCTCGTCCTGCGCCTCAACACCCCGCTCTGGTGAGTGCCAAGGGGGGTCAGGGGGGCTACCCCGGGGCTGGGGTACCTCCTGGCACCCGCTGCCAGGGGGTGACCCCCTCCCTGACACCCCTTCTCCTCTCCCGCAGCACCCTGAGCTATGTGGCGGGGTTGGGCTGGTTTCTGGCCTTGGCCTTCCAGCCCCTTGCCCCCCGCACCTACATGTCGGAGAATGCCATGGGCTCCACCATGGTGGAGGAGCAGTTCCTCTTTGGTGAGAGGGCCCTCTCCTACGCCCGGGAGTTTGCCGGCCACAAGAAGAAAGCGGGGTGAGAGCAAGGGACTTGGGGGTATCGCTCATTTAGGGGGTGACCCCCAGGGATTTTGAGGGAGGGGGGTCCATCCCACCTCTCCCGCTCCACAGGGGCATGCCGGTGGCCTGGCTGGAGAAGACCATGTGGAACCTGGGGCTGGAGGTGCACAGGCAGCCCTTCTCCCGCACGCTGCCCTTCCCCGATGAGACCCGAGAGCGATACGTATGTACCGGCCTCGCAGTCCCCCCTACCCCGGCTCGGCCCGCCCCCTCCCCGAGCCCCCTCTTTCTCTCGGCAGATGGTGAAGGGCACGAATGTCTATGGGATCCTGCGGGCGCCGCGTGCTGCCAGCACCGAGTCGCTGGTGCTGAGTGTGCCCTGCAGCGAGGGGCCCCACAACAACCAGGCTGTGGGGCTGATGCTGGCCCTCGCCTCCTACTTCCGAGGTAAGGCCCCAGCGCAGGGGGCTCGGCAGCCCCTCCTGCAGCCTGGCACTGTCTCGGGGGGCTGTGGATCGATGCCTGGTGGGGGCTGGAGGGTCTCCTGGGGTGCTGAGCATCCCCATCCCTGGGCAGGTCCCTGCCCAGTGGGGATGCAAGGGGTGGGAGTGCTGGGTACCCACCTGCCACAGTCCCGGGGGGCCCCGGCTTTTCTGGAGGGCAGCACAGGCAGCAGGTCCTGCCAGGGCTGTGCCAGGGTTTGCCGGGGCAGGGACTGGGCTTTGCCAGGGTAGGGACCAGGCTTTGCTGGGACTGTGCTGGGCTTTGCCAAGGCAGGGACTGGGCTTTGCTGGGACTGTGCCAGGCTTTGCTGGGGCAGCAACCATGCTGCTGCAGCCACTCTGTTGCCTTCAGGCCAGATCTACTGGGCGAAGGACATCATCTTCCTGGTGAATGAGCACGACCTGCTGGGCATGGAGGCCTGGCTGGAGGCTTACCATGACGTCAACATCACTGGTGAGGCTTTGGCTCGGGGCGGGGAGGGCGCTGTGGTTGTTCCCCAGCCGTGCTGGCGTGCCGAGGGGCCGGCGGCGGTGCTGATGTGGTGCGGTGCCTGCAGAGGTGCAGTCCTCGGGGACGCTGGGCCGGGCAGGGGCCATCCAGGCGGCCATCTCACTGGAGCTGAGCAGTGACGTGGTCACCAGCTTCGACGTGGCAGTAGAGGGGCTGAATGGGCAGCTGCCCAACCTTGACCTCCTCAACCTTTTCCACGCCTTCTGCCAGAAGAACGGGCTGCTCTGCACCATCCAGGGAAAGGTGAGCCTGGCCAGGGCCGAACCCGGCCCACAGCAACCTCCTGGGACACATGGCCCCCAGCCTGGCCTCGGGGCAAGCTGCTGTCCCACAGGACCAGGATTTCACAGGTGGCCAAGAAGGCCAAGAGCATTTTGGCTTGTGTCAGAAATCGTGTGGCCAGCAGGACTAGAGAAGTGATTGTCCCCCTGTACTGGGCACTGGTGAGGCCGCACCTCGAACACTGTGTTCAGTTTTGGGCCCCTCACTACAGGAAAGATATTGAGGTGCTGGAACATGTCCAGAGAAGGGTAACGAAGCTGGTGAAGGATCTAGAGAACAATACTTCTGAGGAGCGGCTGAGGGAGCTGGGGGTGTTCAGCCTGGAGAAAAGGAGGCCGACGGGAGACCTTATTGCTCTCTACAACTACCTGAAAGGAGATTGTAGCGAGGTGGGGTTCGGTCTCTTCTCCCGAGTAACTAGTGATGGGACAAGAGGAAACGGCCTGAAGTTGTGCCAGGGGAGGTTTAGATTAGATATTAGGAACAATTTCTTCACTGAAAGGGTTGTCAACCACTGGAACAGGCTGCCCAGGGAAGTGGTGGAGTCACCATCCCCCCGGGTATTCAAAAGACACACAGAGGTGGCGATTCAGGACATGGTTTAGTGGTGGACTTGACAGTGTTGGGTTCATGGTTGGACTAGAGGATCTCGAGGGTCTTTTCCAATTTCAATGACTCTGTGATTCCGTGACCCGACGGGATGGGCTCTCTCCCCACAGCTGCAGCGCTCGGACTGGGACTCGCTGCCCGCCTATGCCCACAGCCTGCAGACGCTGCTGCTGATGGTGCTGGCCCAGGCCTCGGGGCGGCCCCGCGGTGACCACGGCCTCTTCCTCCGCTACCACATCGAGGCCATCACCCTCCGCGGCATCAATAGTTTCCGCCAGTACAAGTACGACATGACCACCGTCGGCAAGTAAGTGGGGGGCCGGCGGGGGCAGGAGGGGGCGGGGAAGGTGCAGCCTTCCCCCTCTCTTTGCCATGTGCGGTCCCCGCAGGACGCTGGAGGGGATGTTTCGGAAACTCAACAACCTGCTGGAGCGGCTGCACCAGTCCTATTTCTTCTACCTCCTGCCCTCCCTGTCCCGCTTCGTCTCCATCGGCGTCTACATGCCAGCCTTCGGCTTCCTCATCCTCGTCCTGGTCCTCAAGATATCCTTTCGGGCAGGGGGGTGGGGGGGCTGGGAGGTGGGCAAGGGGCGGCCAAACCCGCTCCGCTCCTTTCCCTGACCCTCCCTACGCCCTGGACCTCTGGATGAAGCTGAGCAAGTGCGAGACGGGCAGCGCCGAGCGGCTCTGGGATGGCGACCACGCGACAGGGGAGGTCAGGGCCCTTCCCCTCCCCACGGCCCCCCCACCGCCCACTCCCGCCATCCTCACCCCTGCCTTTCCGCAGGAGTCCCGTCCCGGTTTACTGGTGCTGGTGCCGCCGCTGCTCATCTGCCACGCCGCCGGCCTCGCTCTGTACTTCTTGCCGGTGCTGGGCCAGCATGTAGCCACCCAGCACTTCCCTGTCTCCGAGTCGGAGGCCGTGGTGCTCACCGTCATCGCCATCTACGTGGCCGGCATGGCCCTACCCCACAACACCCACAGGTGCCGGGGGAGGGAGGGGGGGTGTCCATGGGGTGCCATCGCCCCATGACCGTGGGGGGCTGAGCGTGTCCCCCCTCGTCCCCGCAGGGTGCTGGCAGGCGGCGGCAGCGACCGGAGCTGGATGACGCTGAAGCTGCTCGCGCTGCTGTACCTGGCCGTCCAGCTGGGCTGCCTCGCCCTCCTCAACTTCTCCCTCGGCTTCCTCCTGGCCGCCACCATGGTGCCCGCCGCCGCCGCCGTCCGGCCCACTGGTCCCAAGTGAGTGAACGCCGCGGGGGGCCGGGACCCCCTCTCCGATGGTGGGGCGGGGGGAGATGCCGGGGGGGGTGGCGAGGAGGGAGGCGGGGGAGGTGTCTCTGCCCAGTCCCTGCGGCGGCTGACCGTGCCCCTCGCCAGCAGGGTGCTGCTGGCGGCGTTGCTGGTGCTGGCCACGCCGGCCGTCACGTTGCTGCTGGGCATCTTCCTGCAGCGGGAGCTGGTGGAGGCGCCGGCAGCGGCAGCGGAGGGCTGGCAGCTCTTCCTGGCGGCCGTGGCCGAGGGGCTGCTCCAACATCACCTCTACGGCTCCCTCCTCTTCCCCTTCCTCGCCCTCTGCGTCTATCCCTGCTGGCTGCTGCTCTGGAACGTTCTCTTCTGGAAGTGAGGGGCTCCCCCCCTGCGGCCCCCCGGATGTGGACGGACACACGGACGGACAGGGGGGCTGGCGGGGGTGACGTCCCCATTTCCAGGGGACAGGGACGCTGGCCCCGGCTGAGCCCCCCCGGGGTGGCAGCGGGTCCTGCCCTGGAGGGGGGGGTGCTGCCAGTGGGGACCCCCCCCCGTTCGAGGCAGGGCGGGGGGCTGCGGTGCTCGGTCTGTATCGGGGGGGCGGGCTGCACGGTGCAATAAAGACGGAGCCGGGACGGGAGCGGAGCCGGTCTGTTGAGAGGGGGGGTGGGGGGGGGTAGAATGTGAAATTGTGGGAGCGGGTGTATGACGTCGCTTCCGCTGGCGGGTGACGTCAGGGCGCGGACGCCACATCCGGGGCGGTCCGGTCCAGCGTCCCCCTCGACCTCGGCGGGCGCGGTGGCCGCCGGGAAGAACGGGACGGCGATGGCGGCGGTCACGGCGGTGCGGAGCCTCCCGCTGCGGCCCTACGGCCGCCTCCTCCTGCCGCGGGTCCGGACGGCGCCCGCCCCGGTGAGCCCCGGGTCCGCGAAGGTCACCGGGAGGGGAACGGGGGGCCCCGACTCCCTGCCCGGTGTCCCCGGTCCCTGACGGCTGTACCCCCTCTTCCCCGTTTCTCCCCAGGCCGCCATGTCGTCCTTCGGCGGCCGCTGGCGCGGG